CGTTATCCCGCCATGCTCCCGTTATCCTGCCATTCTCCCTTTATCCCGCCATTCTCCCGTTATCCCGCCATTCTCCCTTTATCCTGCCATTCTCCCGTTATCCCGCCATTCTCCCGTTATCCCGCCATTCTCCCTTTATCCCGCCATTCTCCCGTTATCCCGCCATTCTCCCGTTATCCCGCCATTCTCCCTTTATCCCGCCATTCTCCCTTTATCCTGCCATTCTCCCGTTATCCCTCCATTCTCCCGTTATCCCGCCATTCTCCCGTTATCCCGCCATTCTCCCGTTATCCTGCCATTCTCCCTTTATCCTGCCATTCTCCCGTTATCCCGCCATTCTCCCTTTATCCCGCCATTCTCCCGTTATCCTGCCATTCTCCCTTTATCCTGCCATTCTCCCGTTATCCTGCCATTCTCCCGTTATCCTGCCATTCTCCCGTTATCCCGCCATTCTCTCTTTATCCTGCCATTCTCCCGTTATCCTGCCATTCTCCCTTTATCCCGCCATTCTCCCGTTATCCTGCCATTCTCCCTTTATCCCGCCATTCTCCCGTTATCCTGCCATTCTCCCTTTATCCCGACATTCTCCCGTTATCCTGCCATTCTCCCTTTATCCCGCCATTCTCCCGTTATCCTGCCATTCTCCCGTTATCCCGCCATTCTCCCGTTATCCCGCCATTCTCCCGTTATCCTGCCATTCTCCCTTTATCCCGCCATTCTCCCGTTATCCTGCCATTCTCCCTTTATCCCGCCATTCTCCCGTTATCCTGCCATTCTCCCGTTATCCCGCCATTCTCCCGTTATCCCGCCATTCTCCCTTTATCCCGCCATTCTCCCGTTATCCTGCCATTCTCCCTTTATCCCGCCATTCTCCCGTTATCCTGCCATTCTCCCGTTATCCCGCCATTCTCCGTTATCCCGCCATTCTCCCGTTATCCTGCCACTCTCCCTTTATCCCGCCATTCTCCCGTTATCCTGCCATTCTCCCTTTATCCCGCCATTCTCCCGTTATCCTGCCATTCTCCCTTTATCCCGCCATTCTCCCGTTCTCATCTCCGTTATCCCGCCATTCTCCCGTTATCCTGCCATTCTCCCGTTATCCCGCCATTCTCCCGTTATCCCGCCATTCTCCCGTTATCCCGCCATTCTCCCGTTATCCCGTCCATTCTCCCGTTATCCCACCATTCTCCCGTTATCCCGCCATTCTCCCATTATCCTGCCATTCTCCCTTTATCCCGCCATTCTCCCGTTATCCTGCCATTCTCCCTTTATCCCGCCATTCTCCCGTTATCCTTCCATTCTCCCTTTATCCCGCCATTCTCCCGTTATCCCGCCATTCTCCCTTTATCCTGCCATTCTCCCGTTATCCCGCCATTCTCCCGTTATCCTGCCATTCTCCCTTTATCCCGCCATTCTCCCGTTATCCCGCCATTCTCCCTTTATCCTGCCATTCTCCCGTTATCCCGCCATTCTCCCGTTATCCTGCCATTCTCCCTTTATCCCGCCATTCTCCCGTTATCCCGCCATTCTCCCTTTATCCTGCCATTCTCCCGTTATCCCGCCATTCTCCCGTTATCCCGCCATTCTCCCGTTATCCCGCCATTCTCCCTTTATCCCGCCATTCTCCCGTTATCCCGCCATTCTCCCTTTATCCTGCCATTCTCCCGTTATCCCGCCATTCTCCCTTTATCCTGCCATTCTCCCTTTATCCTGCCATTCTCCCGTTGTCCCGCCATTCTCCCGTTATCCTGCCATTCTCCCGTTATCCCGCCATGCTCCCGTTATCCTGCCATTCTCCCTTTATCCCGCCATTCTCCCGTTATCCCGCCATTCTCCCTTTATCCTGCCATTCTCCCTTTATCCCGCCATTCTCCCGTTATCCCGCCATTCTCCCTTTATCCCGCCATTCTCCCGTTATCCCGCCATTCTCCCGTTATCCCGCCATTCTCCCTTTATCCCGCCATTCTCCCTTTATCCTGCCATTCTCCCGTTATCCCTCCATTCTCCCGTTATCCCGCCATTCTCCCGTTATCCCGCCATTCTCCCGTTATCCTGCCATTCTCCCTTTATCCTGCCATTCTCCCGTTATCCCGCCATTCTCCCTTTATCCCGCCATTCTCCCGTTATCCTGCCATTCTCCCTTTATCCTGCCATTCTCCCGTTATCCTGCCATTCTCCCGTTATCCTGCCATTCTCCCGTTATCCCGCCATTCTCCCTTTATCCTGCCATTCTCCCGTTATCCTGCCATTCTCCCTTTATCCCGCCATTCTCCCGTTATCCTGCCATTCTCCCTTTATCCCGCCATTCTCCCGTTATCCTGCCATTCTCCCTTTATCCCGCCATTCTCCCGTTATCCCGCCATTCTCCCTTTATCCTGCCATTCTCCCGTTATCCCGCCATTCTCCCGTTATCCCGCCATTCTCCCATTATCCTGCCATTCTCCCGTTATCCTGCCATTCTCCCGTTATCCTGCCATTCTCCCTTTATCCCGCCATTCTCCCGTTATCCTGCCATTCTCCCGTTATCCCGCCATTCTCCCTTTATCCCGCCATTCTCCCTTTATCCCGCCATTCTCCCGTTATCCTGCCATTCTCCCTTTATCCCGCCATTCTCCCGTTATCCTTCCATTCTCCCTTTATCCCGCCATTCTCCCGTTATCCCGCCATTCTCCCTTTATCCTGCCATTCTCCCGTTATCCCGCCATTCTCCCGTTATCCTGCCATTCTCCCTTTATCCCGCCATTCTCCCGTTATCCCGCCATTCTCCCTTTATCCTGCCATTCTCCCGTTATCCCGCCATTCTCCCGTTATCCTGCCATTCTCCCTTTATCCCGCCATTCTCCCGTTATCCCGCCATTCTCCCTTTATCCTGCCATTCTCCCGTTATCCCGCCATTCTCCCGTTATCCCGCCATTCTCCCGTTATCCCGCCATTCTCCCTTTATCCCGCCATTCTCCCGTTATCCCGCCATTCTCCCTTTATCCTGCCATTCTCCCGTTATCCCGCCATTCTCCCTTTATCCTGCCATTCTCCCTTTATCCTGCCATTCTCCCGTTATCCCGCCATTCTCCCGTTATCCTGCCATTCTCCCGTTATCCCGCCGTGCTCCCGTTATCCTGCCATTCTCCCTTTATCCCGCCATTCTCCCGTTATCCCGCCATTCTCCCTTTATCCTGCCATTCTCCCTTTATCCCGCCATTCTCCCGTCATCCCGCCATTCTCCCTTTATCCCGCCATTCTCCCGTTATCCCGCCATTCTCCCGTTATCCCGCCATTCTCCCTTTATCCCGCCATTCTCCCTTTATCCTGCCATTCTCCCGCTATCCCTCCATTCTCCCGTTATCCCGCCATTCTCCCGTTATCCCGCCATTCTCCCGTTATCCTGCCATTCTCCCTTTATCCTGCCATTCTCCCGTTATCCCGCCATTCTCCCTTTATCCCGCCATTCTCCCGTTATCCTGCCATTCTCCCTTTATCCTGCCATTCTCCCGTTATCCTGCCATTCTCCCGTTATCCTGCCATTCTCCCGTTATCCCGCCATTCTCCCTTTATCCTGCCATTCTCCCGTTATCCTGCCATTCTCCCTTTATCCCGCCATTCTCCCGTTATCCTGCCATTCTCCCTTTATCCCGCCATTCTCCCGTTATCCTGCCATTCTCCCTTTATCCCGCCATTCTCCCGTTATCCCGCCATTCTCCCTTTATCCTGCCATTCTCCCGTTATCCCGCCATTCTCCCGTTATCCCGCCATTCTCCCATTATCCTGCCATTCTCCCGTTATCCTGCCATTCTCCCGTTATCCTGCCATTCTCCCTTTATCCCGCCATTCTCCCGTTATCCTGCCATTCTCCCGTTATCCCGCCATTCTCCCTTTATCCCGCCATTCTCCCTTTATCCCGCCATTCTCCCTTTATCCCGCCATTCTCCCTTTATCCCGCCATTCTCCCGTTATCCTGCCATTCTCCCGTTATCCCGCCATTCTCCCGTTATCCCGCCATTCTCCCGTTATCCTGCCATTCTCCCTTTATCCCGCCATTCTCCCGTTATCCTGCCATTCTCCCTTTATCCCGCCATTCTCCCGTTATCCTGCCATTCTCCCTTTATCCCGCCATTCTCCCGTTATCCTGCCATTCTCCCGTTATCCCACCATTCTCCCGTTATCCCGCCATTCTCCCGTTATCCTGCCATTCTCCCGTTATCCCACCATTCTCCCGTTATCCCGCCATTCTCCCGTTATCCTGCCATTCTCCCTTTATCCCGACATTCTCCCGTTATCCTGCCATTCTCCCTTTATCCCGCCATTCTCCCGTTATCCTGCCATTCTCCCGTTATCCTGCCATTCTCCCGTTATCCCGCCATTCTCCCGTTATCCTGCCATTCTCCCTTTATCCCGCCATTCTCCCGTTATCCTGCCATTCTCCCGTTATCCCGCCATTCTCCCGTTATCCCGCCATTCTCCCATTATCCTGCCATTCTCCCGTTATCCTGCCATTCTCCCGTTATCCTGCCATTCTCCCTTTATCCTGCCATTCTCCCTTTATCCCGCCATTCTCCCGTTATCCTGCCATTCTCCCTTTATCCCGCCATTCTCCCTTTATCCCGCCATTCTCCCGTTATCCTGCCATTCTCCCGTTATCCCGCCATTCTCCCGTTATCCCGCCATTCTCCCGTTATCCCGCCATTCTCCCGTTATCCCGCCATTCTCCCATTATCCTGCCATTCTCCCTTTATCCCGCCATTCTCCCGTTATCCCGCCATTCTCCCGTTATCCTGCCATTCTCCCGTTATCCCGCCATTCTCCCGTTATCCCGCCTTTCTCCCGTTATCCCGTCATTCTCCCGTTATCCTGCCATTCTCCCTTTATCCCGACATTCTCCCGTTATCCCGCCATTCTCCCTTTATCCCGCCATTCTCCCGTTATCCTGCCATTCTCCCTTTATCCCTCCTTTCCTCCTGTATCCCCCCCATCCTGCCGCTCTGCGGTCCTGCTGTTCCTTTCAGCTGCCCGATTCGGCTTCTCATTGGACGAGGAGTTACGGGCAGCTGCAGCTTCGGAGGAGGTTCGGACAGCGCTGGGAAACAAAGTCAGCAAAGAGAGGATTGGGAAAGAGGTACGTGTAAGAGGTATGGGATAGAGGTACGGGATAGATGCACAGGTTTTTTACTGGGTGGATTGGGTATGCCCAATCGACACAAATCTGCATTAATGGCCTCTCACTCAGTCAGTTCGCCATCATCTGTCCGTCCCCTTACACCCATTTTCCCTTCCCCCCATCCTCCTCTTTCCCCCCTCCCGCAGGTGGATCTTATGCTCAAGTCCTGTGACCCCTATGCGGCAATCTCCCTCGTGGTCGACCTCAACCTCTTCCCCACCGTCTTCCCATGCCCTCTCTCCGATCGCTGCTTCAGCTGCCTCCTTACGCCTGTTTTCCCCTTCCTGTCTTTCCTTCCGCCCCTCACAGGTAGAGCTGATGCTCAAATCCCGCGATCCCTATGCAGCCATCTCCCTCGTGGTCGACCTCAACCTCTTCCCCACCGTCTTCCCGCTCCCCCACGCCCCCTCGCACACTGCTGATGTTCCCCCTGATGATGAGCTGCCTGGGTGAGTAACGTGGTAACCAGAGACATTTGCTATTGTAACCCCGATTTGTTTGTGTTGTCTTCCCGCTCCCCCACGCGCCCTCGCACACTGCTGATGTGCCCCCTGACGACGAGTTACCTGGGTGAGTAACGTGGTAACCAGAGACAGTAACATGTGGCTTGTGCTTCAAACATGTCCCAATTCCCCTTACTCCCTCATGCCTTTTCCCCCGCCCCCTCTCCCCTCTACTCCCCCACCCTTTCCCCCTCTCCCCTTTCTATCCGCCCCCCCTCCCCTTTCCCCCCTCCCCTCGTTTTTCACTTCCCTTGCGAGTCCTCTTTTCTATTTTCTCTACAGCTTCTCTCCCAAACGCTGTCATTCCACACCATGTATCGTCCGTTGTACTCACTCCCTTGTGTGTGTGTGTGTGTGTGTGTGTGTGTGTGTGTGTGTGTGTGTGTGTGTGTGTGTGTGTGTGTGTGTGTGTGTGTGTGTGTGTGTGTGTGTGTGTGTGTTTGAGTGTGTTTGAGTGTGTGTGTGTGGGGGGGGGGGGGGATGTGCGTGTGTGTGGGGGGGGGGGGGAAGGGGGGGAGGGTGCGTGCCACATGCATTAGCCTCTGTGAAGCTTCATTTGCTGCCACTTGCACACGCCTGCACCAATGGGAGAAACACCTGCCCCAGGTAATTGTTCACCCTAAACCCTCTCAAGCTTGTCCTCCAGATATAACCTCCCCCAGCTACAGCCTGTCTTCAGATGCAGCCTGTCCCCAGATGCAGCCTGCAACCCATTCACGAATCACACACAAAGCACCGTGCTTTTGTATTGAGACGTCTCAAAACAAACCTTCACACACACGGCACCGTGCTTTTGTATTGCTTGATCTGTGGCCCTTGACTCACTCCCTCTGCTCTTCTGCATGTGTGCCACGTGGCAGGCTCTGATTGATCACTTGTCTGACCTTAGTGTGGGGCTGCTGCTGGCAGCGCTGCTGATGCCTCTCAGGCATGCCCACTACCTGGATAAGAAGAAGAAAGAGGTGAGAGAGGGGTGGAGAGGGGTGAAGTCAGGGTGTTGAGCGGTTGTGATGGGTGACGAGGGGTGCTGGCGGCGCTGCTGATGCCTCTGAGGCACGCGCACTACCTGGATAAGAAGAAGAAGAGGTGAGAGGGGTGGAGAGGGGGTGGAGAGGGGGTGGAGAAGGGGTGGGGAGAGGTTAAGGGCGGTGCTTTTGTTGTTCTCACTGATGCCTCTCTGGCACGCTCTCATCCCCTTGAGCCTCCTCATCCCCTCTCCATGTATTGCTGTAGGTGCCCTTCGCACACCCCAAACCAGCCTCTGTCCCTCCACTCCTCATTCTTGAACCTCAAAATCCTGAACCTCAAACCCCAAACCTCCTCATACTTTTTGCATGTTTTGCTGCAATTGCCCTTTACACAGCCAATGGTGCTGGACTCACTCAAGCTCAGGCGAGCCTTTCTCTCCACATTTTCTCACCCTTCAATTCTATACACCCTTAAACCTCCGCAACCCCTTTGCGTGTGCTGTATCGTTGCAGGTGCCCTTTGCACAACACATTGTCCTGGACTCACTCAAGCTCAAACACGCCTTTCTCATTCTGCATTCCCTTGACCTTAAACTCTACACCCCGGAACCTCCACCACAATCCCTCTGCGTGTGCTGTATCGTTGCAGGTGCCATTCGCGCAACACATCGTTCTGGACTCACTCAAGCTCAAACGAGCCTATGCTGACATGGCAGGTGCCCCCGCCCTGTATGCTGATGTGGCACGTCCCCCTATCCTATCTGCTGACATGTCCCCTGTCATTCAAGTGATTCGAGCTTCTTTTTGAACACAGCGCGTTACACTCTACTACTCGTTATGATCCTCAAAAGCGAATTTAATATCTACCCCCCCCGTTTTGCCTTGTTGGTTCCTGCTCGCTCCCTCCCTCCTTGGCACCCTCGTTTGCCCCCCCTCCCCTTCCCCCCCACCCCCCCTGACCCCCCCAGGTGGTGTTGCTGCATGCAGCAGCGGAGGACTTCACTGCCCTAGCGCCCCTGCTTGCCACACACCAGCAGCAGGAGGAGGGAATGAAAAACCTCCATAATGACTCTGCTCCTTGCTCCCTCTTCCCCCTGCTGCTTCCTCAGGTGGTGTTGCTGCATGCAGCAGCGGAGGATTTCACTGCCCTAGCGCCCCTGCTTACCACACCAGCAGCTGAGGCAGCACCAGGAGGAGGGGAAGATGCAGCAACAGCAGCAGCCGGAACAGGAGGAGCAGCAGCAGCTCGATGCCTTACTCTAATCACACCCCCGCATGAGGAGTTTCAAGACAACGCAAGGGTGCTGGCAGGTGCGGTTGTTGGGTCACTGCTAGTAGTTGTCTCCATCTTCGAAACCCCACGGTTCCTAGCTCTCTGCCTCTAAACCTCTTTGCTCCAATCCTCCCTGTACATATCCGTTTTCCCTGTCTCTCCCCACTTATTCATGCCGATTCCCTTCCTCTCCCCTTTCCTCCCCTCCCCAGGCAAGCTCCTCCGCAAGGTGAAGGCCTGCTGGCCGTCCGCTGTGCTGCTCGCCTCTACTCTGCCGCCCGTTTCCTCTGCCGCCCGCAGTGAACAGTGTGGTGGGCGGGAGGGTGAGGGGGTGAAGGGGGGGAGAGAGGAGGAGGAGGATTGCAAGAGGAGGCGGATGGAGGGGAGGGAAGAGGGCGGGGAAGGGGTTTTGGAGAAAGAACGTGAGAAATGTGATCAAAGCGACTTTTATCTGAAAGTTCTTCAAGCAGTGCATGCCTTGGGTATGTGCTTATATTGGGTAGGGTGTAGGTTTGTCGTGGGATGTCCTTATGTTTGGTTTATTTCTTTCCATTCCACCCCCCCCTTGTTTTCATGTCCAGCACTACTCACCGTTTTCCCAAGATATTGTTTTGTGTTCTCAACCCCCTTTCCACCAAGTTTGGATGGCGTGTGGGCATATTCAGTGGCTGGGATGCCACTTCTGTCAACTCAAACATGTTTCCAACCCTGTTCCACCAGGTTTGGATAGCGTGTGGGACATGAAGCCCTTACTGAATGGCCGGGATGTGGTTGCTGCTCTGGAGCTAAAGAAAGGCGACCCACGTACCGGATACTGGGTACGTTAAGTGAACATGTGTGTGGATACTTGGCCTATTCATCCTCTTCATATTCGATTTCTGTTGGGCTGCTTTTCCATATGCCAGCAGATTCGACCGGATTGAGCTCCTGTGGTTTGCTTTCGTTTATGCCTGTGGTGTGCAGATGGATCGAGTGATGGAGTGGCAATTAGCCAATCCAGACAATGGATCAGCCGAGGAATGTACTGCTTGGTTGAAGGCCCAGGTGCAGGCGCAGGTCATTGCAGCCAGAGACACCAAGTGATTTACACATGAAGGCTGCTAAGAAAGTGGTTTGTTGAAAAGGATACGTTCAATATTCGCATGATGCAGATAGTGTACTGTTATGAAGTTGATATTTCAATTTAGGAATCTGCTCAGCGACTTTGTGGAACTCCGCACGTGTTCAGCAGAAGGGCGTGCTGGCTGGATCTGGGGGTCTCTCACGTGGCTACGTGACAGCACAGGCGATTTCAGCCGCTTCGATTCGCTCAAGACGGTTGCTGGTCGTTTCAGCCCACCGATTGGGGGAGTCCGCCAGTAGGGGGCCCGATTGACTCGAATTGACACCTCAGCTTCGCACACCTGACCAATCGAATAATTTTACTGCTCCCTCCCACTTCCATATCCTGAGAATGCTAAGCAAGTCGTCGCTGACGTGTGCGAGGGGTCACCGTGACCCGTCATGATATGACAATTGACAACTGTATGCCACAGAGGATGCCGTTGGAGGGACAGCAATGACGAACTCTGTTCATGGCCGTTCAATCTGTCGAAATAACCAATCGAAACCGCACGGTCCATTTCTCACAAGATGAAGATTTCGCTCGCTGGCAGATTATCTTGGGCTTTCAGTCAGCAGCATTTCTTGAGATTGTCGTTCCACTCCACACCATCATCCTCCTCATCCTCATCCTCTTCCTCATCGTCGTCATTACATCCGTGGTAATTTTGTAATTGGCATTGTCAAATTCAGTTTTCACATCACAGTCTTCATTCTCTGATTCTCTTACCGTACCTGTTTCGCGTTCAACCAGTAGTGTCGGCCGTGATTTCGCAGCATTCGTCTTGCATTTATCCAAGATTCGTTCTCGCATTAGGGGGGAGTAATCTGCATTGCTATCAGTCGCGGCTATCGTATTCCTAAACGTGTGAAGGACTTTGTATCTGAGCCGGGCCCTCAGTCTACCCGGCCTTCTCCTGTGTAAGCTCCAACGCAGGTCAAAGCCTGCTTACAACTGTGCTCTTTCGTTCGCACTGCTCCCTTCACTCGTTCATCATATTCGTCTTGCACGTTTCTGATGTCCTGACATCGGCGGTTTCCCTGATTTCGCGATTGATTATTCTGTCGGAAGTTGGCAGACGACGCTCGTTGTCAGCACTTGACTGCTTCACGGTTCCATAAGCCATTACCACTTCCTTTAACACTGTGAAACCTGTTGTCCAACCCTCTAAAGTCCCGAAACATTATGAATCCTGGAGGTCTACTTGTTAACAGTCTCGACATCTCATTGCACCATCTTCCACAAAGTTTACCAGCCAGGCGCCAGAGGAGTAACGTCTGATGCTCATCTCCTCACCCCTGACCCCCCTTCCCCTCTTAATCCCTCGTCCTCTTATTGACCGACTCGTTCAAGCTCTCCTGCATCTATCCTGGCCATCTTGCGCTAGTCAATAAGCCATGCGCCGGAGGAGGCGATGGCACCTGCAGCATTCCACGCTCCCCCCTCTCTGACGTCATGGCTCCCCCTCCCCTGTTCATTCCACCAGTAGGTCGACCCAAAGCGCTTGCAGCCATGTTGGCCATCTTCCAGAAGTCGATAGGCGAGGCGCCGCAGGAGCTCATGGCGCCGAAGCTGAACCGATCGGCGTCCATGTCGGGCCGGCTGGACGCGAAGGAGATCCTCCACGGCTTCAAGAAGGCGCACCCGGGCGCCGTGCTTATGCAGTTTGACGATCAACACGCTATCGCGTACACGCACGACATGCAAGACTTTCTCATGCCCAGGTGGGTCGCAGCCTTCAGATGTTTCGTCATTCTCGGTGCATCCGTGCTTCTGATCGTTGCGTAAGCTGTCATGGCTCTAAGCTTGAGCTGAAACATACCTTTATTCTCATTTTGTATAGTTTACTGCGTCAAAGAAACTCCTTCACGACATTCTACCCTAACCTCTTCCGCCGTTTCCAGCATCTGGCAACTTTCCGCGTACGATGCCGTCTCCTCCACCTCCGGAGTCAACTTCCAAGGGCCTCGCGCAGTTCAGGCACCTGCACTCTTTGTACTTGCTCCTCGCGGTGTTCCTTGTCCCTCTTCCGAGAGGCCCGGCTTGAACCTTAACTCGTTCATCCATGTTCTCCCGGTCAAATTTAGAACTTCGGGTGCAGCGTCGGCAGCGGTGCTGTCTGGGCCGGCATGTCAGCATGGCTAACCCTCCCGCATTCTTTCCCTCTACTCTTTCCGCTCCCTCCGCTCCCCCCGTTCCAACAGGCAATTTGCAGCATGCGACGATGTCTTCTGCGCGTTCGCCGGCAACATCGAGAACCTCGCGCAGCTGCGGCAGCGGTACGGGCTGGACCGGCACGTGAGCGAGGTGAATCTGATCATCGAGGCGTACAAGACGCTGCGCGACCGCCGTCCGTACCCGCCGGACCAAGTCATCGCGGACCTCGCGGGCGCGTTCGCGTTCGTGCTGTACGACAACAAGGCCAAGACGGTCTTCGTGGCGCATGTGAGTTGGCGGAGGGGATAAGGGCGTATGAAACAGGGCATTCTGGGAATGGGGAGCGATGTATGGTAGGGAGGAGCGATGTATGGTAGGTAGCGATGTATGGTAGGGAGGAACGCAGCGTTCGCGTTCGTGCTGTACGGCAACAAGGCGAAGACGGTGTTCGTGGCGCATGTGAGTTGATTGAGTGGAAGTTGGTGTAGATGGCAATGCTAGCGATTTGGCATTGTTTGGTTAGGGTTATGGATAACCGGTCAGAGTTAGGGTTGCTTTGTGAGGCTCTTGTAGACGTCGTTTAGTCGTGACCCGTTGAGCTAGTCAGAGAGAGAATCTGAAGAACAGAAGAACGAGGCAGGGTACAGTAGCGAAGATGACAGATGATGAGCCAGGAGGAATTAAGAGCCAGGGCGGGTGTCCAAACTGCAAGTCCGAGGATTCAAATTTACAGATGATGATCCAGAGGGGGGATGAAGAGGAGTCGAGGAGGGGAATGGTGCTCTTTGTCAGAGGGCGCTTGCTTGCTAGGATTTACGTGTTGTATTCCGCTCCTTCCGCCCCTCCCCCGCCCCCACATCCACCATGCCCGTGCTGTCTAATGTCACCACAAATACCCGAAAGGAAAGGTGCCCTTGTACTGGGGCAAGTGTTTGCACGACTGATTGCTCGCGTTCCCATTCTCGCCTTCCCTTCCCTCCCCTTCCCCCTACGCGTACCCCCACTGCCCCCACCAGGACGCGCAAGGCAAGGAGCCCTTGTACTGGGGCACGTGCCTGGACGACGGAGTGCTCGCGTTCTCATTCTCCCCTTCCCCGCCTCCTCCACCCCCAACGCATTCCCTCACTGCTGTCAGGACGCGCAAGGCAAGGTGCCCTTGTACTGGGGCAAGTGCCTGGACGACGGAGTGCTCGCCTTCTCGGACGACCCTGCTGTGCTCAAGGCCGGCACCGGCTCCTCCTTCGCCCCCTTCCCTCTCGGTACGTCTCTGCCCCTTCGCCTTCTTTGTTCTCGGTATGCGCCTGCCCCCTCGTCCCCCTTCCGCTTGGTATGTCCTTACCACTTCCCCCCCCCATCGCGTTCGCTGACGACCCTGCTGTGCTCAAGCCTGGAACTGGTTCCTCCTTCGCCCCCTTCCCTCTCGGTATGCACTTTGCCCCCATCACGCATCCCATCACGCATCCAATCACGCATCCCATCACGCATCCCATCACGCATCCCATCACGCATCCCATCACGCATCCCATCACGCATCCCGTCACATGTCTCATCACACATCCCATCACACATCCCTTCAAATTCCATCCCACATCCCATCCCACATGCCACTGCACATCCGTTCACACACCCCGTCACACACCCCATCACACATCCCTTCTCACCCTGAGAAGCAGCTCAAGGCCATTCAGCACGTGGACAGCCAACTTACCCCCACTTTGCTCCTTGTCACCCCTTGTCAACCCTTGTCAACCATTGTCACCCAGCCCCACCCTTAGTCACCGCATCCCACCCACACAGGCTGCTTCTAATCCTCGGACGGTGGGCTCCGCAGTTTCACGGACCCCGAGAAGCAGCTCAAGGCCGTTCAGCACATTACCCGCCAACTTTCCGCCGCTTCATTTCCTGTCACCCCTTGTCACCCCTTCTCACTCATCCCCACTCACGCAGGCTGCTTCTACTCTTCTGACGGCGGCCTGCGCAGCTTCACGGACCCGGAGAAGCAGCTCAAGGCCATTCAGCACATTGACAGCCAGGGGGAGCTGTGTGGTGCCACCTTCAAGGTCGACAGCCAGCAGGATTTGACTCAGATGCCTCTAGACTCCAAGGACGACAGCGGGCGGGGCTGGTCGTAAATGTGTTGGAAGTATGAAAAAAAATTATCAGCGGGAAGCGGAGGATAGGGTGGAGGATGGTTGTTCTGCTCCAGTGGTGCTCGTCACACCTACAAAGATTGATGACCTGGTTGCTGCTGGATGATGAAAATAGTGTGGTGTCGACTATACAGTACCAAGGGGGGTTGTGCTGCTGCTGCAGCTTGTTACGCTGTTGAGAAATACAATTGTTCTCTACAAGGAGTCGTGTAATACTAGTGTAGTGGTGGTCATGGGGCAAGACGTGATGCTGTTAGAGGCTCGTTCGTTTGATTTGATTGCAATGGATGATGCCTAATTTGTTTCCAGCAAATTACTATCTCTCACTCCAGCTCAGGGAGTGGGCTGGGCAGGCAGGTGTTTGTTCTGCCATATTGACGCACGTCACACTTACAGGTATACAGAACCTTCTGTTCTGAATGATGAGATGAGTGGAATGGGGTGATACTGTAGTATAAAGCAGATGAAGGAAACAGATCCACCGCAGCTTGCTGTGCTGCTCAACAAACACAAACGTCACCCACAGGTGTAGCATGTGATACTGGTTTAGCGGCTACGGTGTAGGGGATGCTGAAGCTTGCTATATGGATACCCTGAATTGTTACAATACGTTTTTTTCTTGTTTCCAAACCTTCCCAAGTTTTTGGATCTCTGTTAGAAGTAGCGAGAAAGTGATGGTCGATTAGGTAAGGGGGGGGTACAAGAAAAGTGTTGTACCCTCTAAGGATAACCCTTACATAGCCTAGAAATATAAAGAGCATATAATGTTTTGACACACCCAGGGTGGATCACAAGACCAGTCAAGAAAAACAAACAAAGCAAAGCCCAAGGTGGATCTCAAGATCACCACGCAGTCTGAGCAAAAGCAAGTGGCCACAAGGCCAGTTCACATGCAGAGTTACAAAAACACAAGCAGTACAATGATCACAACCTAGCAAGAGCAAGCATGCATGTGAATATACAAAGACCACAGTACAAGGCAATTCAACCAACCAGCAGGTGAGGCAGAATGGGCAGAAGCCCAAGAGCAGTACAGAAACGCTGATGATCACCAGATCCAAGGGCCTTGGTGAAGACATCAGCAGTGTTGGCCCGAGAGGCCACGTAGGAAAGGCGGAGCTGACCATGCCGCTGCAGCTCTCGAGCAAGGAAGTAGCGAAGAGCAATGTGATTCGTTCTGTGCTCCAGTCTCTGCTCGTGACACAAGGCAAGCATGGCCTTGTTGTCGACGTACAGAACTGGAGGAGAACGAGGCCGCTCCCCCAAGTCGGTCAGCAGGTAGGTCAGCCAACGTAGCTCATGTGCAGCCATAGCCCCAGCGTACATCTCGGCCTCACAACTGGAACCAAGCACAGAAGAAGAACGAGTGGACCTCCACGAGACTGAACCAGAGCCAAGACTGAAGGTGTAACCCTGTGACGAACGCTGAGTCGCTTGGTCGTCAGCCCAAGAAGCGTCAGAGTGTCCTGTGAGTACCACCGAACCCCGTCCTCCAAGCACGAGCCCCATGCCCGATGTACTGCACAAGTAACGCAGTACCCTCTTCTGTCACACAATTAATAAGGCCTAGCTAGCGGTATAAATTATATGAATAGCCATATGAACTTGTGTGACAAAAGCAAGGTAGTGTAGTAAAGAATAAGTACAATTAATAAGGAGGATAGGAGCAGGAACACCCACCAAGGCAGAAGCGATGCTGCAGCAAGCGGGAATACTGTAGACAGGAGTAACGGGCCGAGGGCAACGGTAAGTGTGGCCCTACTTAGGGAGAATGCAGGCACAGAGTGCTTGCTTGCTTGTTTGTTTTCTCACCATTAGCTAGTGACCCAATAGGACTTTGCTACCGAGGAGCCAATTCAAGCAGGCAGTCAGCTGAGCAGACGGTGTGAGACATTGGAACCCTATCTCAGAACTCTACTAAAAAGCAAGGGATGAATGGCAACGTAGAGTTGAGATCTAGCTATAGCTACGTACGGCAGACTATGGAGACGACACAAGCGACGCCCGGGTGGCGTGCGCATGCGAGTAGTGTTAAATCGGACAATAAGACTGAACCTTCCTCTAGGGCCACGGACTCGCCCGCTTATCGTACGCCCCATCAACGCGGTCGGACGGACCTAAGGAGAGAAGTCGGCAGGAAGAAAACAGCCGCGTCGGACCCGGGGACGGTGCCACCTGACTCGAGATGGGCCCGAGAAGCTCAGGAGCGGTGGCGGGCTAGAGAAGCGCGTGCGTCCCCGCTGACGATGCCTGGCATGCACGAGAGAGGCCCGTCACCGCCAAGGCCGTGGAATCGAGAAGGGAAGGAGGAACGATTCAGCCCACGGGGGAACTGAGAGCTGGTAACGAGCCGGACGGCGGTGGGCGTACGTGAAGAGGAACAGGGCCCTCCGCCTACCCGCCGATGGAACTCAGCTTCGTTGCCGAAAGTAGAAGTGGCGGACTGGTACACTGGGATCCCAGGAGTGGTCCGACACTGAAGAATTACGTGATGCAAATAGAGACCGCGCAATATTGCTGGGAACGAGACGGCTTTGACCCGCGGGAGTTCTTTCGGAAGATGGTGGTGACGCTGGCGGGAGAGGCGGAGACGTTCTATCGAATGGTGCGCGGGGAAGTTCTAGACGAACTGGAACAAGGACTCATCGAGAACCCAACCGAGAGGTTCATCCAACTGCTCAAGCGCGAATTCATTGGGCAGACTAAGGCCCGACTGGAGGAATTCCGGGAGTTCTGGCGGCGTAAGGAGGAGTTGTTGCTAGCATATTACAACCGCCTGCAGGAGCTGGCCGAAGACCTGGAGAAGCGAGATGAACGGCTGCTGGTCCAGAAGTTCGTGCGGGGGCTGGACGATGACTTACGGCCGGTGGTCCGGACCGCCGTATACGGCATCGGGGCGGACGTGACGCTGAAGGAAGTGTACGGAGTAGCGAAGCGTACCGAGCACGCCCAGCGACTGCTCGAGCTGGACGACGGGGAACCGGGAGCGCGGACGAAGCCGAGCTGGGCCGCAGTTGCGCTGCCAGAATCAGAGAAGAACATGCGGGAATGCGGAGATCCCAGGAGGTGCCACACGTGCGGCGAGCCAGGCCACCTTAAACGGGACTGTCCGAGCGCGCCGACATGCGACCATTGCGGAAGGAAGGGGCACCGCGCCTCGGACTGTTATCAAAAGAGGGCCAGCGCAGGAGAATCGTCGAAGGAAGAATTGCAGTCAGAGATCCGAAGGCTTCAGGCGCAGCTAGAAAGGATGCCGAAGCCGGGAAATCGAGCCATGTTGGCTATCGATGAGGTAGCCGAGGAGGAGCTGTCGGAGGAGGAGTTGGTGCGCGAATGCGGATTCATGGCGTACCCCCGAGACCGAAGTGACCTTGACTTGCGACCGCGATCAGAGATTTCAGGAGAATCGAGTACCACGAGTCGGAGGGAGCGGGCTCCGCTGAGGAGAGAGAGCGGGACGAGCAGCGACATGAGGCGCCACCTGAACGAGCGGCTCGTGTGCCAGGCCTCCGTGATGATAGCGGAAAGGGGAAGCTTGACCGTGGGAAGCTTGCCGGTGTCACAGGCGATCATTGACATGGGGGCTCACAATGTCCTTATTGGGAAGGGGCTGGCGAAGCAATTGCAGCTGGACCGACCAAAGCGACAGGTAGAGCAAGGTATTTTGATGATGACCGCGGAAGGGGGGGTGCCAAAGTGGATGCCGAGCACAAAGCTGCCAGTAGAAATCACGCTGCTGCCGGGGACTGAGAAGGAGTGCTGTCTGCGGCTGAGATGCGGGATCTCGCAGTCCGAGGATTACGACGTCCTAGTGGGGATGGAACTACTGTATAAGGTGGGAGCTACCATTTGCACGTGGCAGGAAAAGGTGTTGTATCGGGTGCAATACTGGGATCCCGAAAGCTCGGTCGGCACACTCCCAGTGCGCTTCGTGAAACAGGAACCTCGAGCGGCATATCGGGCAAAGGAGACCAATCTAACGCATGCGCTAGATGACTGGACTTGGCAAGAGTATGCCGAGGAGGGACTGAGATGGATCGAGATGCACGAAGGGGGCCGATAGTCGACCGATCTGAAGGAGCTAGTGTGCCGCACTTGGTGCCTGGAGGGTTCGTTATGCATTCTGGAGCTCTACGGGGGCATCGGCACTGGGTTAGCAGCGGCGCTGAAAGCCGGATGCTTCGTGGGAAGGTGGTTTCACGTGGAAAGGGATCCAGTCATAAGGAAGATGGCACACAACTACGCCCTAAAGCTGCTGGAAGAGTACCCGCAACAGATGCTGATCACAGCGATCCCTTTGGAGGAAGAAGTAACCGTACACGACGTTCGGGACATCACCGAGCAGCAAATGGAAGCATGGGGACCGATCGACCTAGTGGTGGCGGGATGGGAGTGCCAAGGGTACTCACGCGCGGGAGACGGGCGCGGTATGGAGGACCCACGGGGGGCATCGTTCCGGGACTTGACTCGAGTACTGCGGCTGATACAGAAACGCGAGCGGAAAGTCGTGTTTATATTGGAGAACTTCGACATGGCCGACAACCGTAGAGAGCCGGTGCGCCGAGCGTACGAGGAGATAACAGAGGAGTTGGGGAGGGGAGTACCTATAGATGCGGCGCAGCTCGGGTCTCGGGCACATCGGCCTCGGAGGTACTGGCAGAATGGAGTATCGGAGGCGTACTTGCGGCACGCCTTGGCACAGATGCAGAGGCCTCACCCGAGACTGGTGAAGGACATACTGGCGCCTAACCGAGTACCTGCTCCGGTGACAGTCGAAGATCACCCAGCGCAGTACCCGTGCAACGTGCCAGGGGAGCCACGGAGGGCGTGGCCGACCCTGGTGTCGTTCGCTAACGCGCGGGGGTTCGTGATGGAAGGGGTTCGGCCGGGCCCTGGGATGGTGTACGACTCGTGTACCAGAATATGGGAGGAGCCCAGCGCGAATGAGAGGGAGTTAGCCATGGGACACCAGTGGGGAGCGA